AAAAACAGAGGTTGTGCCGAAGGGGTTTCCATTAACCCTATCTCTCGGAATTTTACGGGCTACAACTGGTAGACTACGTTGGTGTACGAGGATGCCTTCGGTACTTTATAGTTCAACTTTGCTGAAGAAAAAAAAATCGCTCTACTTCTTACTTTCTTGGGTAAAACTTCACACGCTTGAGGGTATTAAAGCGAGCGCTCTTCTATGAAAGATCATTGGTAGACGAATTTAGTCCCACTCAATGAGAGATGAATTGCGTTTTGTTTTTTTGGTAGTCTGCAGTGAAGGCGGATCAGTGTAGATAGGCGTCCACAGTCTGACATGGGTACGGTTTATTTGATTTGGGCTATATCATCGTATCAAACAATCTGTCCGTTTGTATCCTGTTGTATAGGGCTCTGCGTGATTGTAGAGGTCGGTGGGTTTGCGTGCACACGAAGGATGCGCTAAGGTCTCGAACCAGCCTAAACAATTCCTGTACTCAAAACTGCTTGAAGCCATTGAAAGCTCGCATTTGATAGCAGGAGAGCCTTAAGAAGAGGAGAAAACTTTGAAGGCTGAACTCGCGAGCTACGGCCGCAAACTTACTGACGTTCACGATCGCCAAGAGCCCAATAAAAATGACATTTGTAAATGACGATTCCTTATAAATCTACGTTCAAGAACGACATCATTGAATGGGCTCGTGATCATAGATGTCATCATAAATGGACGGATACACACGCTGATCCGCACAACACCAACAGAGGTTTCTTCTTTTCACACATGGGATGGCTTTTAGTTAAAAAACATCCGCAGGTAAGAATCGTAGGCGAGTTGCCGCGCGCAGAAACAGGGCGCCGTTGCGGACGTTCAGCTTTCCCAATCGACCGCACCGGTGGGACGCAACGGCGTCCAGCCTCTGCGTGCGATGAATCGCCTAAGGCAATATATCTGCTTGTGGCACACGAGTCTTTAGATCAAAGAGCAAGGCAAAAAACTCGACCTCTCTGATTTGTTTGCTGATCCTGTCCTGGTTTTCCAGAGAAAGTGAGCAGTTTACGATATCTACGTGTCTGACACATCTCTAGCGATTAATTCCAGATATTATATCCCCATGGTTCTATTATTCTGTTTTTTGCTTCCAACTGTCATTCCCGTATACTTCTGGAAGGAATCACCGCTGATCGCTTTTTACACAGCAGCACTGTTCCGCTACTGCTTCCTTCTACATTCTACGTGGTTTATCAACAGCGCTGCTCACATGTATGTCTAGAATAAGTGCTTGGGGAAAGAGGGTCTGAACAGCTTTTTTTGACAGGTTTGGTTATAAGCCTTACGACTCACGAATTTCTCCCGTCGAATCCGTTTGGACGTCGGTCACTGCAGTTGGTGAAGGGGGACACAATTTTCACCACACATTTCCTCAGGTAAGCCCCGTTTGCCGAATTCCGTTCGATAAACAGAAAATGCTTAACTTCCATTCAGGATTACCGCGCTTCCGAGTACTCGATGAAGTTGAACTGGACATGCCTGTTCATAGATGCATTCGCCGCTATAGGATGGGTGTATGACAGAAAATTCGTTTCCGAGGAATACGTTCAAAGACAATGTGACAAACATGGAGACCCAGAGAAGAGGCACAAGTGGTCAACTTTTTCATGAATTGAGAGTATAAAGCTTCCAAGTCTCATCCAACTCAGTGGTGCTCGCAAATGATCGATCTAGCTCTGAATTTTCTTTTTTGTCCATAGTTAGAACTTGATAAATTTTGCGGTGCTAGCGAGCGAGACATGACCAACAAGAGATACTACATCCTATTTTCTTCGAAATCTATCAAAACTGTGAAAATAGCTGATACCTTTTGATTTACTCCACTATCAAACTCAGTTGACATAGCGATCTCTAGGAAATTATCGCATGTGTACCGGTCGTAAAAGAAGAGTGCACAGCAGCTAAGTATCGTTGTACTAATGCATTCTCATAGCGTGCACTCCATACACGTTGCATCGAAGAGAGGGATGACCTTTTATGGAGGGGTCACCAAAAGACTTTTCAAAAACTATTAAATTCGAAAAATTATGTTCCATTCATATGAAACTCAAACCGAGTCAAGTGCACATCTTTATATCTCATTAGCTCATTCCGACAATTTTGCGACCTTAAAGTTTGAGTATTTGAATAAGTTTCTAAGTCGCTCTAACTTTTACTCTTGCTGAACTTTCCTTTCCTTTCAGTTTTGCCAAAAACGGAGACTCGTCAGATAAGGCAAGACCACGCTTGAAGAAAAGATTTTTATTAAGTTCTTGATCGCGAGAGTCTACTATTGCTGATGGGAGGACGCGCAGGAGGAATCAAAAGAGCCTAGCCGCTAGTGTCCGCAGGAGAACTAGTGGCGCGAGCACTGCTGCGTAGATTTGGCCAGGATCCAAGAAGGCTTGGCTGGGATTCAGAAGTATTCTTGAGGAAAAGATTCTTCGTAACTTCGTTTAGGAAAACGCTTAAGAAATAATTGGGGCAATTTTGTAATCTGCGTTTCAGGC